CCCCCCGCACGCACACACGCATCTTCCTTGACTTCCATAGACTCCTTGACAGGATGTTTTCATAAAAACTAACAAAGCATCGATTTTTCTCTCTCACTAGGACAGTATCTTCTCTTCAAAGTGTTCTTTAAAATAGTGTGCAATGGTGGTCCTCTTGGAGGCCTTTCCACTCCAGAAGTTCTTTCTCACTTTTCTTAAATTTGTTTGCTCTGCTCAAATTAATAATTAAATATTGTGATTGATCTCTCTTTTGTTTTAGGTGGAGTTTTGATAATTTAAACTTTTTTCTCTTTTCTTCTTTTCACTTTATGCCTGTTTGTAACAATCCCAAACAAAACACAGGCTGTTAAGAATGGCACTCTGGCCGGGTGGCAGAGGCAGGCGGATCTCTGTGAGTTCGAGGCCAGCCTGGTCTCCAAAGCAAGTACCAGGAAAGGCTCAAAGCTACGCAGAGAAAAAAACCCTGTCTTGAAAAAACAAAAAAAAAACAAAAAAAAAAAGGCACTCGGATTATGAGCTAGGTGTATGGGTCACAGCATTAAATAGTTTCCTCAGGACAGTAGGGTCTGAATTTGGTCCTGGCTTTCCACTGTCTCTGGACCCTTCGGGGAGCACTTGTTTCTGGCCTCAGCTTCTCTGTCTGTGAGGAGCATCTGGTGTGATTCCATTCAGGTGCTGCTGTGCACTGCAAGGCTAGCTGACCCTTGACCCCCTTTGGGTGTCTGCCGGAAAGGCAGCTGTTGCTCGGGGCGTGGACTCTAGACTCCATTCCTGATGTTTCATCTTTCTGTCAGGTCCTACTTTGTCCAGTCTGAACCAGCATAAGTCGGGCATCTTCTGTTTAACAGAGTCAGGCTAGCTGTTCCTGGAACAGATGGGTGTGCACCTGGGCTCCCAGGAAGACGTGTCCACCAGTCTTAACAAAATGACTGTTTTAACCTGGAGAGATGGTACAGATGATCTTCTTTAATCTTCTCTAACCCCACTGATAAAAGCCAGGCTGCATCTCCTCCACACCAGTCCCCACATCCCCATACTCCCCCCTCACCCCTGAGAGACCCTCTCCACTGTTGATGTTTGGGGCTAGATAATTCTTGGTCGTGGCAGAGGGGGGTTGTCTTGTGCCATGAGGATGTACAGCAATATTCCTAGACACTCTACCTGCCAGCCAGTAGCAGCCCTACTCAGAAGATCTCTAGGCATTGCTAAATGGACCCCTGAAAAGAAGGGTTCAAATCAACCCAGTTAAGTGCCACTGTTCCAATGCAAATGCCAGTGCATCTGTTGCGTTCATCCCTACTTAGCAAAACTGCCAATCATAACATGCTCTCAGCAGCAGACTTAGGAAGTGCCCACCGGCCTGCCTCCTTTGCAGCAGGTGAGGGACAGCTCTGAGACACCCTGCCCTTCCTACCCTCCAGGGAGAAAACCAGGCCCCATTTCCTGGAATTGGCCCCTGGCGATTGTACCTTCTCCTTATCACTTGGCTGCAGATGGCCTTTGCCTAGTGGTAGAGCTGCTGCACTAGTTCTCTGCTCCAGCTGCTGTTTTCTTTTCTAACAGTGGAGGTGGAGAGTGCGTGAGCAGGCTTCCCTGGAAAACGCAGACACGGGTGGAGAAGCAGCACGTGCAGCCTGGCGTGTGTGCAGTCCCCCTGGGCCCTGGGCCCCGAGAGGCCCAAGTGGAACATTACCAGCCTTAACCCAGTATTGACGTCTTTCAAGCCATGTGGAAGTTTGTGTTAGCTGAACTTTTTATGCCATTTCATTTCAAGAGTAGTTTGGCTCACAGCAGATAAAAATGGTGTTTCAGTGAACCCCTTGCTATTAGGATACGCATTATTCTAATTTCCTTTTCTTTTTGGTTTTTTTTTAGACAGTGGCTCTCTATTTGTAGCTTCGGCTGTCCTGAAACTCACAGAGATCTGCCTGCCTCTGCCTCTCAAATGCTGGGAATAAAGGTGTGCGCCACCCCGCCTGGCTCAGGGCAGTTTAGATGCTGGCTGGGAAACCCTAAAGCAGAGCTCCATGAGGATTCTCTTCTAGCAGATGCATGCTCTCCAAATATATTGAATTTATATAAGATCTGAACTAGTTCCCTCGAACTAGTTTACAAAAGCTCAGTGTGATGGCATGCCCCAGTAAACCAGCAGCCTCCATAGCAAGACCCTGACCCTCAAAATGAAATTTACACCTAGCTTCAGGTTTTGTCTTTTGTTAACTTGGTAAGTTTTGGCTACAGGGTGTTGACTGCATCTTAAACAGAATAACTAAGAGGTGTAAAGTTTGTTTGCCTCTAAGTGGGGCTGGGCTGCTGGCTGTTGTCATGTGCTAGTTGTTTCCAGTGTACCTTTTAACTCTTGAAGAGCTCTGCTCTTTGCTGATGTGCCGCCCTTTGGTTTGTCTGACTGGAGGAGGCAGTGCCTTTGGAAGGCAGCAGTGCTTTCCAGGGAGAAGCTTGTTCTAAAACCGAGTCCTCAGCACTCCCTAAGAGAAAAACAGAGTCCTCAGCACTCCCTAAGAGAAAAACAGAGGCAGCTGCGTCTACGAGATACCAGAGGAAGTACCTGGAAATGCACCAGTTCTCCTGAAGTCTTACTTCTGCACTCTCCATTTCAGATACGGTTTTGGAGAGGCAGGGAAGCCTAAATTTGGCATTGAACCCAATGCTGAACTGATGTATGAAGTTACCCTTAAGAGCTTCGAAAAGGTGAGAAAATCGAACTTCTCAAAAATTGTGGTGAATTTCTCCTCACCCCCTTCCCGTAGCTCTTAGGTGATTTGGCTGAGCGGCGTGTATTTCTGTACTTGCTTCTCTTTACCCAGGATGCCTGCCCACCCTCCCACTTCTGCTTAGAGCACGGGAAGCTGACAGAACACAGAGGAGCTGGTGGTGTTACTGTGTGTCAGCCTTTTTACTCGGCTGCATCTTTTTTTTTTTTTTTTTAAACTTTTGGGTAGAATCCAAGACTTGTTCCCTTATTTGTTCCTAGACTTGTTCTTTTTGTACTTTTTTTTTTTTCCTGGGTTGAGGACAAAAAAGTTCACGTACTGCCAAGCACCTCCTTAGGGGAGTTGGGGTGCAGCTTTTTCAGTGCTGAACGGATTGTACGCTTCACAGGAGTCAAGAAGAGGTCTCCGCTGGGGCTCCAGGTTATGATCCCAAGGTCTCAGCGTTGGGGCCAGCGGGCTACGAATAGGGGCAAGAACTAAACCTGCTACCCAGCTGTGTCCATACTGTCCAAGAAGAGGGGGGGATCTGCCATGGCCTCCTTGGACTCCCTCCCAATCCAGGGCTACCTCTGTAGCTTCCAGCTGCCTTTAGTGGGAAGACACACTGCACCCCCATAATCTCAGTTGGCTGTCATCCTCAGCCATGTCTCCAAGTGGCCGATACCCACTCTTCCTGGATCTTCACAGGGACGGCCCTTTTATTAACTTTTTATTCCCATGCTGCCACAACCCCCATGTTCTGTACACCAGGTTGTCACTAGAAATGTGATCTTCCATATTATACCAGACTCCAAAAGGAGATTGTCACCTTGGTAACCTGTGAGTTTGGGGGGAAAAAGTAGGATTCTTCCACAGCAGCGCTGTGTCCCTAACATATATGCTCTTGTCATACCGTTGCTCTTTTGGGGGAAGTGACCTCTTGAAGACCTCCAAGCTCAGTGCTGATCCCTTCATGGGCTTTGATTGCTGAGAGGAGACGAGACTCTTTACACATGATTATCAAGGCCGTTAGCTTTCCTGTCTCTTTTTGTAGAGGACCGGCCCCTCCCTCCCTTGCTCTCTGAAGAACATTCTTGCTGTCCCCCTGCACAAGCGTGTCTGTGCACACCGCTGGTGGACTCAGTGTGGGGGCCTGGGATGGTTTTGGAACCCGCCTGGTTCAGTCCCATGCCTTATAGAAAGGCAATGGGAGTCAGAAGCTAGACGTGGTGATGCACACTTATAATCCCAGTTCTCTAACGGCTAAAGCAGGAAGGTCACCTGTCTCAGGCCACCCTGAGTTACATAGCATGACTCTGTCACCACCCCCACCCCATCCACACCACCCCATGCGAAAACTAAAATAAAAAGAGAGAGCCGGGCAGATGGCTCACCGAGTAACCATGAGGACCTGTGTTGGGATCTCCGTCATCCATGTGAAAAGACAGGAGGATCTCTGGGATGTGCTAGCCAGCCAGCTTAGCCAGTTTGCTCCAGGTTTAGTGAGAGACCTGTCTCAGAAATAAAGTGAAGATCTGACAGGATGGCTGCATGGGTAAAAGCATTAGCCACAAAACCCGGCAACCTGAGTTCCTTTCTAGAACCCACACCAGGAGAACTGACTCCACAGGGCAGTCCTCTGCCCTCTGATCTCCGACTGTGTGCACACTCGCGCTCTCTCTCTCTCTCTCTCTCTCTCTCTCTCTCACACACACACACACACACACACACACACACACACACACACACACACTCACACACACACACCGGTAATAATAATAAGATCAATAGTTTTAGAAAAGAGACAAAGGAAAAATATGTTGAAAAAAATAAATTAAAATAGTTTTCTTTTTTTTTTTAAAGTAAGTGGGGAGTGATAGAGAAAGACACCTAACATTGACCTGTGGTCTTCACACAGGTACACACACACAATATTTGTTTTTTTTTGTTGTTGTTGTTGTTTTTTGTTTTTGTTTTTGTTTTTTTTTTTTGTTTTTTTTTTTCATGACAGGGTTTCTCTGTGTAGCCCTGGCTGTCCTGATCTCACTCTGTAGACCAGGCTGGCCTTGAACTCAGAGATCTACCTGCTTCTGCCTCCTGAGTGCTGGGATTAAAGGTGTACACCACAACCACCCAGCTCCACTTGAAAGAATGTTTCTTCTTCTTTTTTTAATATTTAAGATTTATTTTTATTTTATGTGCATTGGTGTCTGTGCTGCCTATGTGTCTGTGAGAGGGTATCAGATCCCCAGGAACTGAGGTTACAGACAGTTGTGAGCTGCCATGTGGGCGCTGGGAATTGAACCCATGTCCTCTGAAAGCAGCCAGTGCTCTGAACTGCTGAGCCATCTCTCCAGCCCTCCACTTAAACTTTCTAATTCATATGTACTAAATAGAACCAACCATGCCTATTACTTTTTCCTAAAAGACCCCAATTATTCTACTGGGTTCTGTGTTCTTAAATCCAGCTATTTATATAGATTTCTTTTTCTTTTTTTTAAAATTTATTTATTTATTATATATACAGTGTTCTGCTTGCATAACTTCAATATCCCTTCAGGCCAGAAGAGGGAGCCAGATCTCATTACAGATGGTTGTGAGCTACCATGTGGTTGCTCGGAATTGAACTCAGGTCCTCTGGAAGAACAATCAGTGCTCTTAACCTCTGAGCCATCTCTCCAGCCCTCCCCCCCTTTTTTTTAAGTGCTGGAGACTAAACCCATGGCCTCAAGCATGCAGGCACTGTCTCCCTGAGTGATAGCCTAGACCTGTGTGTACTGTCGTGGAGTAGGGTACACATAATACAAACCATACTCCTTGACCTTGATGGTGAAGTCATTCATGTACAGCTCTGTAGTGATGTTTCCGCATGAGCTCTGTCTGAAAATCCCCCAAGTAAAGGCAGGCATTGGGATGCACAGCAGTAATGCCAGCACTTGGCAGGTGCTGGCAGGAGGGTCAGAAGTTCAAGGTCATCCTTGTCTACATGGTAAGGTGGAGGCCAGCCTAAGATACACACAATACTCTCTGGGGGGAAAGGGAAAGAAATTCCCTAAGTGCACACCTGCAAGCTGATACTGTTCGAGTCCATAAAACATCTGGTTGTGTGAATGATGAGACAACTGCCTGACTTGGAATTGTAGAAATTCTCTGTGCATACACAGCTTGGCCTGGACCGTAAGTAACAATCCGACTTTAGAGCTGGAGAACAAGCTTGACAGAGACGCCCAAGTCCCAGCAGCAGTGTGGTGAGGAGGCCCTCGGGAGGCCTTGCCTTGGCCTTCTGAAGTGCAGTCCTCCGAGTGCTCGGCATTGGTGTTCCTGGAGGCCCTGCCCGTTCCCCTTGGACAGCACGGCTCAGACCACAGCTTGGGAGCCACAGCACATGTTGGTAACGTGGTGCCGAGAGCACTGGCCTGGCAGTGACGGCAGCGGCACACAGCTCTGCCTGCCCGAGTCTTGAGTTTGGAGGTCTTCTAGAAGTAGCTGCTGCTTGTTCTCTAGGCATCAGCTGCTGTGGGTCCTGCTCGTCTAACTGATGCCTCAAATCTATACACAGGCCAAAGAATCCTGGGAGATGGACACCAAAGAAAAACTGGAGCAGGCTGCCATTGTCAAAGAGAAGGGGACTGTGTACTTCAAGGTGAGCGAGTCCCTGTAAAGCCTTCCCGTGTGAAGCTGTTCGTTCAGGTGTCCACCAACCATGCTGGTACTCCCTGCTCTGCATTCTGTCTGCACCTTTTCCATTTTCACAGGCTTGCTGTTCCCAGTGTGAGGACTAGTGAGAAAAAATAATGCAGTTCCCTCTTCTGTACGCTGTGAGCAGATGGTAACCTTCCCTCAGAGCAGACCACACCTGGCCAGCTCACCTGCATCCGCACCACCTCATCAGCAGGCCTAGCTCGGCCCTGGTGGGTCCATAGTCAGCGTGCAGGAAGTGTGGAGAGAAGGGACGAGAGTGGACCTTACAGGTCAGAGTTCACAGGAGTGGGCTCGAGCTTCTTCCCGCTCCCCACAGGTCACTAGACACATGGCGGGAAAGAGCAAGCGGGGTCTTCAGATCACGTGGAGTGATCCCCCACATTCCTGCCTTGTTTTCATGTCGGTTTTGGTGTGTTGTTGTTCAAGACAGGGCTTCTCTGTGCAGCTCTGGCTGTCCTGGAACTAGCTCTGTTGAGCAAGGGCTAGCCTTGAAGTCATGGAGATCCACCTGCCTCTGCCTCTGCCTCCGAGGTGCTAGGATTCAAGGCTTGTGCCACCACTGCCTTCCCAAGGACCTGATAGAACCTGATAGGAAGAGAGCACTGAGCCTTGCAGGGCCGCAGTAGTGCCACTTACGGCTGCCCAAGGGACCGCTGCTTCCCCAGAGCCCTTTCCATGGGCCTGGGAGCCAGCGCGTTAGCCCATAGATCCCAGTCCCCGGTGCAAGAAAGGCGTTTTCAGGGGGCCGTGCAGACTGGTTACCAGCCCACTCCCAAATGCACGTCTCTGCACAGCACGTAAAGACCTAGTGACGAGAATTCAGAAATGGCCGTGCTCTGCTGGCTTGGGTGACACTGTTGGGAGCAACTGATTCAGTTCCCTGCCCTGTAGGAAGGAGACTGAAGCCAGAGGCCGGCTGTGGTGGCGCACACCTTTAATCCCAGTGCTCAGATGCAGAGGCAAATGGGTCTCTGTGAGTTCAAGGCCAGGTTTACATAGCAAATTCCAGCCAGCCAGGGCTACATAGTGAGGCCCTGTATCAAAAAAGAAAGTATGGGAGCGCACCCAAGTGTTTTTCAATTTTCTCTCTTGTAACTACAGTCTTAAAAAAAAATCATTGTTTTTATTTTACTTGTTTGTTTTCCCAACACTATAAAGCAGAGGCCTTAGTCTTGTCTTCATGAGCTTCTTTGTGATCTGTGCTGCTGCAGCTACAGCCTTATCTGTGGGTGGGGACCGGGTGGGACAGCTGAAGAACTGTGAGGACATGGTCACCCCGGAAGAACACTGGCAGGGGCGTCTAGACCACTGGGCTTTCTGTTTGGGGTGGGAGGCTCATGCGTTTTCCACTGTGGGCTGAGACCTGTGATTGGGTCGTAGGATCGGCTTACTCAGTGTGCTCCGTATATAGTGGAGGTGAGCTGTGTTTATTGTAAGTGATACTGGCTCATCATTTGAAATCACGGTTTCACTCTGGGTGAAATCCAGAGATTTTAATAATAGGCGTGCATTTGTTTATTCTTAACAAAGTTGCTAAAATGATGTGTGAATCCTCAGAAGGTGTACAGATAGGAGCTCTGAATTGGGAATCTGGAAAATTAGACGTTTGTTTTTCATGTGTTGCTTGGGACGATACAGTGATGATACATACATTTCAACATGTTTTGAATCTTCCTAAAATTACCAATCTGGGAAAAAATCTGGATTGTCAGTCACACATATGGAACATATTATTTTTAACATGTGATTTGACAGACAAGATCTTTCAAAACATTAGTCTGTTGGGGAGAAATTAATGAAAGGTTCAAAACCACTGACCTAAGACTTCTTGCGGAATGTCTCGGTGAAGATCCCAGTGGTGATGTGGCTGGAGCTGCAGATCTCAGAAGGCCACGCTCCCGCTCCTGTTACCCTGCTCTGCTGCCCTCACCAGCTCCCTCTTCCCAGGTGTCTGACTTGACGTGTGCCACACGGCGTGCAGATGTGTGGTGGCTGTAGACATGGGTGCGCTGCGGGCTTGTCTTTCAAAACATCCGCAGTCTTCTTGACCGGCCAGTTTGGTTTACAGCTGTGGGCAAAGTAGGACTGAATTGTGCTGTTTAGACTGATGTTGAAACTTCCTTTCAACCTCGGAACACTCATGAGAAGAGAAGCCGGAAATGACTTTCCTCATCCAGTTCTGAAAGTCATTGTTAAGCCCAGGTAGCGGCGTCATCACACTAGCCAGCTTAAAAGAGCCGGCCTGTGAAGCTGGGGCTCACTGCTGTGTGCGGGCATCTTGCGCCCCCTAGTGCTCCTTGGAGAGGAAGTGTGTCTGCGGCTGGCCTGCGGTCAGGCCAGGGTATTGTGGAGAGAGCTCTGTAGTGTGATGTCCTCACTGCTTTGAGTGCCGTCAGTCCTAGGCCGGTCTCAGCAGTGATCAGTGGGTAAACGTTGGCTTTGATGTGCTGCAAGGTCTGGCTGTCCTCCTGCCATCAGACAGGAAGTGTCGGTACTCAGGCTGGCACTTGCCTGCTGCAGAGAAGAGCCCTGGCCTGTATGCCAGCTTTACTGTGTGATTCCCAGCTGCCACTCCACTCACGGAATTACCTTATGATAGCAGTGAGCAGTCCTCTCCACCCCACGGATTTTGGTTAGAGCCCATGCTGTGCGCATCATTCCGAAGTTTACTACATTAGTCAGCAGGGCAGGGGTGTGATTCTGGCTACTCTGGAACAGCAGTTCTCAACCGGTTGCTTGACCCCTAAAAGGTCACAGCATTAGGAAGGTTGCGAACCACTGCTCTGGAAACTGAGGCAGGAAGACCACAAGTTTGAGGCTAGCCTTGACAACTTAGCAAGGCCCTGTCTGTCTGTCTGTCCGAATAAAAATGAAGGCTTGGAGATATAATGGGTTTGGTGTTCGCTTAGTGTACATGAGGCCTTGGGTTCAGTCTGTTGTCCTGCAGAGGAGGTCGGGAGGACAGGTCAGCACAGACTAGTTCTCTCACATGGAGTTCTGATGTTCAACTTATTTCTACTGGATGCTGCCAGCCAGCCAGGTGTGTGCCCACTGCCTGTGGGTCAGCACTGTCCTCCGGCCCACTGCCTATTCTTATAAGTAAAATGATGCCAGGACACAGCCACGCCGCTGCACAGCCACCAGGACACAGCCACACTGCTGCACAGCCACGCCGCTGCACAGCCACACCACTGCACAGCCACGCCGCTGCACAGCCACGCCGCTGCACAGCCACACCACTGCACAGCCACACTGCTGCACAGCCACCAGGACATAGCCACACCGCTGCACAGCCACACTGCTGCACAGCCACCAGGACACAGCCACACCGCTGCACAGCCACACCGATACTTAGCAACACTGCTGCAGTTTTGCCTGTTTTGCCTGGTGCTGCTTTTACACTATTATTGCGAGCCAGGGCTTGCACAATCTGCTTTAGATGCCCAGGCTTCCTGTCTGGAGACTACGTTACCATACTGCAGTATTTACTATGCAGTGCTGGATGCTGGGGGAAAGAGAAAAGTCACTTCCCTCCCATAAGCTGTACAGCTCACCATCCTTTTGAAGAATGTTAAATGTTGGCTTCAAACGGTGTAATCACCTGCTGCCAGGCTAAAAGAATGCCAAAAACCAACACTGTAGTGTCAGCCTGTTACAGGGAACCCCACAGGCTGGCAGGGCTCCCTCGGGACTAGGAAGGGGGGCAGGAGAGCTGAGGCCTGAAGATTCGAGGGCACAGAGCAAGGTTGTCGTGCAGGCCTATTCCTTTTGAAGACTCGGCTGAGGCAGGCCATGCTCACACTTCATTGTGTCCTTCCTAGAGCATAATACAAGTCATAACTGGCTTTTTTCTCTTAGGGAGGCAAGTACATGCAGGCTGTGATTCAGTACGGGAAGATAGTGTCCTGGCTGGAGATGGAGTACGGCCTGTCTGAGAAGGAGTCAAAAACCTCTGAATCGTTCCTGCTTGCAGCCTTCCTCAACCTGGCCATGTGCTACCTAAAGCTCAGAGAGTACAACAAAGCAGTGGAGTGCTGCGACAAGGTGGGTACCCTGCGCCGCCCTCCCCCCAAGTGGGGTCTTCCCTCCACGCGGGGTCCTCCCTCTCTCAGGCCGTTTCTTCTGCTCAGCGTGAGCTGGGACACTCAGATGGATCGGCTAGATGTGGATCATTTTATCAGATATTTTACATCAGTGTTTCATAGAATTGACAACAGTTTCCCCCTGTGGCCTTACTTATCCTGGTTTTGAGTTTCATAGTAGAGAAAGAACTCCATGTTCCACTTTTTGTTTTGTTTGCTATTGCTAGGGATTGTGCCTTGTACATGCTAGGCAAGTACTTTACCACGGAGCCACGACCCCAGCCTCTGGCTTCTTTTTTGTTTGTTTGTTTGTTTGTTTGTTTTGTTTTTTCAAGACAGGGTTTCTCTGTGTAGCTTTGCGCCTTTCCTGGAACATGCTCTGTAGACCAGGCTGGCCTCGAACTCACAAAGATCCACCTGGCTCTGCCTCCCGAGTGCTGGGATTAAAGGCGTGCGCCACCACCCCCGGGCTGAGTTCACTTTTAATAGAGCAAATTTCGTTTGAATTTCTCAGGACTTTAGCAGCTGAATTCACATATGTAGTCTAAGCGGCCCGTTTAACATCTCAGCAGCCACCGCGGGTTTGCTCTGGTCCTGTTCCCAGCTGACTCAGCTGTGTCACTACACGGGGCAGGGGTTTGCTGTCCGTCCATCCGTCTTGTAATTCTCTGTTCTAGTTGATGTGGGCTCTTACTACAGATACCTAGCTTTAGAACAACAGTGTATGGTACAATCTAAGTAAAAACTACCATGGAGTGTATCTTAAAAGTAGACCTGAAGCAAGTCATGATTGGTCTAGTGCTGTGAAGAGACACCATTCCCAGAGCAGCTCTTCTAAAGAAAGCATTTAGTTGGGGGCTTGCTTACAGTTTTAGAGGTTTAGTCCGGTATCCTCATGGTGGGGAGAATGGTGGAGCTGGAGCAGTAGCTGAGAGCCACATCCTAATCTACAGGCAGAGAGAGAGACACTGGGCCTGGTGTGGGCTTTTTTTTTTTTTTGGAGCTGAGGATCGAACCCAGGGCCTTGAGCTTGCTAGGCAAGCGCTCTAAGACTGAGCTAAATCCCCAACCCAAACTTTTTTTTTTTTTTTTTTGGTTTTTCGAGACAGGGTTTCTCTGTGTAGCTTTGCGCCTTTGTAGCCCAGGCTGGCCTCGAACTCACAGAGATCCACCTGCCTCTGCCTCCTGAGTGCTGGGATTAAAGGCGTGCGCTGCTACCATCGCCCCGGCTGGTGTGGGCTTTTAAAGCCTCAGCGTCCACCTCCAGTGACATACTTACTCCAAAAGGCCACACCTCCTTCTAGTCCTTTTAAACGGTTCCACTCCCTGATGACTAAGCATTTAACTACATGAACCTGTGGTGGCCGTTCTTACTCAAACACCACAGTGCCAGATGCTGTGATCCCAGGATTGGGGAGGCAAAGGAGAGATTGAGAGTTCGAGGCTGTCTCAGAAACCAGAGCTGTCAAGATAGCTCAGCTGGTCAAGACACTTGCTACCAGGCTGGACAGGAGTTTGATTCCTGGGGCCCATGTGGTGGAAAGAGAGAACAGCTTTGTCATGTCCTCTGACTTCTCATTCATATGATTATACACATACACAAAAGAACAAAGTAAATATAATAAAAAATAGTTTTTAAAAACACCAGAATAAGGTGGGCGGTGGTGCACGCCTTTAATGCCAGCACTCAGGAGGCAGAGGCAGGAGGATCTCGGTGAGTTCGAGGCCAGCCTTGTCTACAGAGTGAGTTCCAGGACAGCCAGGACTGTTACACAGAGAAATCCTGTCTCAAAAAACAAACAAACAAAAAACAGGCATGAGATTACAGAAAGATGTGTTTTTTATGTTTTTTATATGTTTTATATGTGTTTTATAAGACTTCAGCTTTATAGATTCGTGTTTTTCTGTCACATCAGACTAAATTTTTGCCTGAGAAAAGGACATTATTGTTAATTATACTTTTTAATTTTTTTGCTGCTGCTTCTTTTTTGTTTGTTTGTTTGGGTTTTTTGTTCGTTTTGGTTTTTTTGAGACAGGGTTTCTTTGTGTAGCCATGGCTGTCCTGGAACTTGCTATGTAGATCAGGCTGGCCTCAAACTCACACAGATCCGCCTGCCTCTGCCTCCCCAGTGCTGGGATTAAAGGTGTGTGCCACCACCGCCTGGCAATTTTGTGCTTTTTTTTTTTTTTTAAATACAGAGATGTTACAAAGCTACTCGGAATTCAAGCATTCAAGAAAGTCCAGCCATAAAATTCCCATCAACTTTCTCTCCAAAGGCATGTTTTAAAGATCCAGTTTCTTTTTTAATATTTGTATGTGTGTGGGAATGTGCATTTGTGCATGCAGGCGCTCCCAGGGGCCAGAGAAAGGCACATCTTTTCCCTTGGAGCTTAGGTAAGGTAATTGCGAGCTACCCCATGTGGATGCTGGGACCTGAATCAGATCTTCTGCAAGAGCCATGCTCTTAGCCGCTGAATGACTTCTCCAGCTCCCCTCTCCCCCCCC